TAGCACACCCATGTTTTCTAGTTAGTTCTTGCTACTCAGGGGGCTGGGCCTTTGGGGTGACTGTTGCATCCTGTGTAATTTTGGTTAATTTCGCATTCCTACATTCAGCTTGAGGTTATTATAATAAAGGGGTTCCTAGCATGAACTGTAGGTTTTGTACTCCAGCTCCATTTTACTTCAGGTTTCTGATACTTGAGTTTTAATGTTAAACTATAGCAGTTCCTCAAACTGTTTGATTCAGACACCACATGGACTGTTCAATCTAAAAACAACTAAACCTTCTCTACAAGAAGACCGATCTAGATCCAGAGTGTGAAGTTTTAAATGTATTCATTAGCACTACCTTCACCCAGATCCAACACAGCGAGGACAGCGCTGCTCCGTGCCTCTCCCAGGTGATTGTTGGCGATGCAGGTGTACAGGCCAGCATCACTGGGTTTGCAATCCCTAATCCAGAGTCCTCCGTACTCCTGGTTCTCCATGTTGAGGAGGTCATCATTGTGGTACCAGTACAGGGAGGGCTGGGGGTCCCCGGCCACAGTCACCTTGAGACGGATGTCGCAGCCTGTCCCCACAGCGGCGTTCCTCATTTTGCGTATAAAAACAGGTGGCGTTGCCGTGGGATGACCAGGTCCTCGAGGTTCCGGGACAACATGCTCTGGGCTCACTTTGGATCGTTTTGGGGGGATGATGGGGCTCGGGGGTGCCACTGCTTCATCTGCCCCTTTTTTCAGGGTCATTTGCACCTCAGCTTTTCTCATGGTTGAACTGATTTGCTAGATCCTACAATGGATTCTGTGTACGTGGATTGTACAACTGGGCCCTCTCTCAGTATTCTAAACAGAAATTAGAGTCCATGAGCACGCTTTACACATAAATTAAGTTAACACAGTTCTCACATTTTGTTTTCTAAATTTAGGATAGTCTTTAACTTGCTCTTACTTGAAAAGACAAATTGAAATTTTAAGAAACATATCTGCCGTGGATAAATTCTCCTCAAATCACTGTTCTCTGACTTCAGTTGTCGTCCGAAGAAGAAAAAGAAATTGTTGATTACCAGGTAATTAAGCAGATAGAGATAGCTACCGTTCTCCTGCGCAGAGGTATTTTTAGGGCAGGACCCACTGGATCATGTTGCATTAACAGCTCCCCTGACTTGTCTTGGAAGTGACGGCTCCGCTTTTCCCCCTCCTTTTCCTGATGTTCCTGACTTTTCAGCCTGTTGTAATTATTTCCCAGCAACTTCTCCGCAGAACAAGGTGTGTGAGTCTTCAGCGAGTCTCCTCTTTATTCCCAGCGGCCTTGAGATGTGCTCTTGCTTGGCTTCTGTTTGAATGCAAGCATGCAAAGTCCCGTCCAGCAAGTTGCACAGTGCACCCCCCCCTCCTTGTCCCATGAGCTAAACCACCCCACTCATGATCTCCCCCTAGCTCTGCCAGTCAGTCCGAAGGGGGAAATGACAGTCACTGCCCAGCAAGCCTTACAATGACAGCTGTGAGCCGTCTGCCCACTCATTGCTAGGTTCCCGCCCCCTTGTCATTTTTAGCCAACCTGAGGTCAGTAGAACATGTGAGATGGTGCAACACTTGGCACAGAGGAGGGGCCGGTCTGTATGGGACAGATATTTAATTTGTAGGTCAAATGTAGAGGCTGACGTAGGTGGTCAAATATCATGAGAAAGAAAATATTTATCACTATTAACATTGTGAGCTGGCAGCTTTGGCCCTAAAAGAGATATTTCAACTACCTTCTACATTTACTGACAACACTGAGCATCCAGGAAGTATATTAGAATATAGATGGAGGTAAAAAAATAAAACAAAAACACGTGAAACTGTTAAAAAAGTAGGTTAACATTAGTCCTTTGAGAAACTGGTTCTTCAGCACATAAAGAACAACATCCCACCCAGCCTGGACCCTCACCAGTTCGCTTTCAGAACCAACAGATCCACAGAGGATGCCATCTCCACTGCCCTCCACTCAGCTAAAAACAACAACTACATCAAAATGTTGTTTGTGGATTTCAGCTCAGCATTCAACACAATCTCCCCATGAAACTGATCAGCAACTCAGCTCTCTGGGTTTGAATTCAAATCTCTGCAAACAGACCCCAGTCAGTTCTGATTGGTGGACACACCTCCTCCACTCTAGTGCTCAACACCGGAGCCCCCCAGGGCCGTGTGCTGTTCACACTGTGCACCCACGACTGCATCTCTCGACATGGAGAGAAGTCTGTTGTGAAGTTTGCGGACGACACCACCATCATCGGCCGGATTTCAAACAAAAATTCTTCATCTTCAGAGACTTCATATCAGGAGGAAATTGATAATGTTGCAGAGCGCCGCTCAGAGAACAACCTACGGCTCAACATGAGCAAAACCAAGGAGCTGATCTCGTCGCCAAGTTCTTGTCAGCAATAGAAAGCATCCTGACTGGAAACATCACACACTGGCATGGGATGTGCACGGCCCAGGACTGGAGGGCTCATTGGTACCCATCTCCCGAGCATCAGTGATATCAGTGAGGTGACTACGCAGAGCCCAAAGGATACTAAAGGACAGAACCCACCCAGCCTCAGCCTGTTCACCCTGCTGCATTCTGGGAAGAGATATAGAAGTTTCTGGTGCCGCACCACCAGACTGCAGAGCAGCTTTTTCCCCCAAGCTATCAGCCTTTCAACTCTAATTCATCCTCAGCACTGCTCCATTGATTATAGTTTATTTCTGTTACCATTTTTCATAATTGATCTGTATTAATGTATATTATCTTCTATGTAGCAGAAGGGAGTTACAAAAATTTCACTCCATAACTTGTTATATTGTGACAATAAACCTACCTACCAACTGCCAGTGTCTTCTTAAATGGAAACATTTCAAGTTGAACTGTACCCGTCCAGGGTGTACCCCACCTCTCGCCCATTGTCAGCTAGGATCGGCTCCAGCTCCCCGCGACCCTGTAAAGGACACACAGTTATAAATAATGGACGGATGCTGCAAGTGTGAATCTTGTGTGCATTGTTAAACAAGGATTAGGGGCCAAGCCAAGTCCATTATACAAGTAGCTCAATGTGTAAAACACAAGCAGTACTCATTATGCAGATGATGTTTCTGGATTAAGACTACTGCTGCATTAATGTGCATGTTGCATTTTACTGCTGCAGGTGTTTATGGTTGGGATAATTTTACTACTTAGTCTACTGTTGCGTAGTTTCATCTATAGCAATGCATCATATTCTTTGAGATCATCATATGTTTCCGTCCTGTGAGAACCATGTATCTTTCAAAAGTCCACATTGAAAAACCTGTTTTCAATGTGAGGATGCATTTTCCAGCTGATTCAACAGGGTTTTTAAAGTAGTTTGTTTAGCTTAAGAAGCAGGAGAATTTTATGAACCCATAGAGGAACACTTCAGCCTATCAAAAACATTTATATTTAAATTGACCAAATTTGGAGACACAAGGTTTTTACTGGACAAGAAGTCTATAGCAAATTGTAATCTGATAATCAAGTAACTAAAACTGTCAGACAAATTGGAGTAAAAAGTACAATATTTGCCTCTAAAATGTAGTAGAGTAGAAGTATAAAGTTTTATAAAATTTGTACTTGCTGGAGTCCAGGACTTTGTAAATGAACATCGGTTACATTAAAGTCCTTGCCAAACGAGTTCACACACTGCTGATTAAGCATTCACTGCCTGGTAAATCTCTCTGTACTCGCAGTATACCAGAGTTTTTAAATCCGGTGTCTGTGGCGACATTCCCGCTCTGGCGAACTGGTGTTGACGGGTTTTGATACAAAGGGGGAGACAAAAGTGTTATACATGAGTCAATGGGTCAATGAGTCAATCATTTCACATTTGCAGAAGCACAACCCATGGTCATCTAAACAGCGACAACAACCGTTCATCTGTCCCTGCCAATATATCTTTTCTTTAGGATCTTTGAACTTATTGAAGGTTAATCTTTTGGATGCCTCGGCGCGTCAGGCATCCAAAAGATTAACCTTCAATAAGTTCATCATTTAAGTCGGTATGATCATCTTGGCTTGAGATAACCGCAGACTACTTGCACATGACTCGGACGACAGGTCTTGACCGCACAATTGTGTTCGTACGTTGGAGAAAATTCAAAATACTACAAAAATTGGTGAATGCAGCAATTTCTCCAGAATCACTCACATGAGCCACTTGAGAACAAACCTGTTCGTACGGGTGGTTCTTGCACGAGGCCCGATGTACATGTAGGTGCCTTGATTAAGAGGCCTGAGACAAGCAAGTCCAACATGCGAGACCTGAATCACGCAATTTCATTTAGTAAAACAGGACTCACCTAGTAAGAAAAGCAGGAAATGTGAAATTTACTATTTATCCAAGAGACACAGCCTCTCTGCTTATGTCTAATGCATTGTTTTCTGGAAAGACACAATACTGCTTGTATGGAAATACATTTTTCTAGTTTATTGGAAAATGTAAATACACTGTCGATAATACTTCAAAATCGTTTAGTGTTATTTCATTTTGGAAGCTATTTACAAAAAGCTCCATGCTGGACAGTGAAGAGCACCAAGATTTGATCTTTATTCCATTGTATCCACAGTGTTGTAATGCAACATCCAAGAATTGAATCAACCTGACTTATGTTAGCTCTGGTTTGGTTGTGTGGCATGTATTAAACCTGAATCAACTGGGTAGAGACCAACATAATGTAGTAAAAAGCTAAATATATTTCTTCTGCTATTTTTAATAAGCAGTGGTTCCTGTCAGCTGCACTTTCCAGGGATAATTTTGTAGTGAAACCGTATTATTCCCCATCTGATCCAGTGATTACTGTCGCGTTGCTGCTGCAGTCATCATAACTTCTCCATGCTGTGGCTGTAAACCACCCAAAAAACATTACTTGCTGGATTAGTTAGAGGGAAGTTTTATCTTCTATCAGCTGTTTATGTTTTGGTAACATATCAGGTGACTCAGTGGAGTTACATTAATCAGAGAAACAGAGCAGTGTACGTGTTTATAGAACACTTTATTGATGATTGCAACTATACAGACACTGCATATAGTTTGGCATGTGAATGAAAACATGCAGTTTTCAGCTAAATATACATAAACCTCAAACAGGTTACAAAAGAAATGTAAATACATTAAAATAAAAACATGGATGGAGATATATAGTACTGTACAAGATAGTTTCATGTTTCTGCTGCAGTCCGTGCAATAAAATTGAGCTGGAAGTAAAACCCTCTTTCAAAGGACAGTCACATTAGTTTGGAAATTTAAATCATAGAAAATCAGTTTAATTATCCACATTTAAATGCTATACTTGATGACATCGGTTCAACATCTAACACTGAATTTTCGTAACTCAAGATCCTGCATCTCTAGGTGTCCATCAGCGGATGTTTTGTCTTGGTGTTGTGACATGGTATTGCTGTGTTGAAATATTGTCACACTTGAAAAACATGTTTTCCACTGTTTCCTCAGAATGAGACGTGACTGAGGAGGGCGAGGGGATTTAAATGGGTAACCACAAAAATATGATGTTGACATGTGCAGCCTAACTTGCTGGAGTGAAACCAAAACCAAGTTAAACAAGATTTTTTAAAAGTAAAAAAATAAAATATAACAAAGCTTGAAAACACATTTACAAATTTGGAGAAATGTTGAAGGCAGCTTGAGTCCAGCACATCAGCACTGATGTATTAACTCATGCAGAGAGTCCAGAAGCGTCTCTTTGGTGTTCTCACATGAACGTGGATGTGATTTCTGATGACACTGAAGACCTGCTGCTTCTTGCTATTGATGTTCTCTTCAAGATGCCCATCTTCTTCAGGATCTGAAACAGCCTCCTCCTGAACTTCTCTCCCACAAAAGCATACAGGACTGGGTTGACACAACTGTGAAGCAGGCCCAGACTCTGGGTGGTGAACATGGCCTGATCCACTGCCATCCTTGCTGGGCACTGGTACGGCACTATGTCCAACCTGAAAAATGTGTCTGCCATCACCGCAATGTGGTACGGTGTCCAACAAAGCAGGAAGGCAACAACCACGAACACTATCACTCTCATGGCTCGTTGCCGCTGAAACCCCCCACGGATGTTAAGGAGGCGGCGGATGGTTACTCCATAACAGGGCAGCATGATGGCCAAGGGGATAAGAAAACCCAAAGTGTGGCGGAGAATTCTGGTGCCCAGCCTCCAATTGTTAGCTGTTTTGGGATCATATGCATCTGTACACACAGTCTGACTGGAGGAATGAGAAGGTCTAGCAGAAGTGAACAGCCCTGGCAGAGATAGAAGCGCTCCTACAGCCCAGACAGCAGCACAACTCCCAAGCTGGCTAGCTGCCGGTTAGCCCTGCGAGTCTCCATAGCTCGCACGATCACCATGTAACGGTCCATGCTGATGCAAGTCAGGAAGAGAATGCTCGAGTAGAAGCTCAGCTCTTGGAGGACGGTCATGATTTTGCACATGGCGTCTCCAAACACCCAACCCTGCGTAACAGAGGTGGCCCAGAATGGGAGAGTGATGGCCAGGATGAGGTCGGCCACTGCCAGGTGGAGGAGATAGAGGTCAGAGGGAGACAGCGACTGCTTGGAAAGGGAAATCACCACCGCCACGACCAGATTTCCAGGAATGGCCAGCAGAAAGATGAGGATGTAAAACGCACTGACAGCAAAGGTCACCGCATCTGGGATGGAGAAGTGGCATGGCTGCGTATCGGGGTTTAGGGTGAACCCTGAGTCGTTATAAGTAAAGTTGAGTTCATCATATGCAAGTCCAAAGTCCATGGTAAAAGGAGACATAGTTGGATCTGAGGATAGCAATCAAAAACATAACATTTCAGTCATAAACCTGTTAACAGAAGTCTAATGGAAATGCAACTTGTACTTTTTAACAGACGCACAGCAGGCTGCACACGCAAAGGCTGTCACAGCACATCTGTACATCTACAGTAAAGCACAAACTAACGTGCCATTTAAACAGGTTGTTGGGACAGTGTTAACATAATAAATAGCATGAAACAATTAAACATTTTTACTTTTTTCAAAGAAACAGGAATTAAAAGATTTAACTCGAAAGTCGATTATTTTTATTATATCAGTATATAACATTTTTATGGCACTGGGATATTTTTAAAACACTTTTGGTTTATACATATATAATGCAGCATTAAGGTTAAAAGGAAAAATGAGGAAGCCTACATTTATTTACATTTTTTACACAATTCCATATTCAATTGTAAATGTCCACTTTCCCAAATTTCATTGAGGTATTAATGGCTATAAACTGTTTACTGCAAGTACACGGCTTAATTCAATATCAACCATTATAAGTAAGTTGTTTTAAAAGTTGTTATTTTAAGGATTAAAATACTCACCATTCAGTCTTCTTTGTAGGAGGCAATGAGCGTGTGACAAGGGAGACGAGGAACAAACAAAGAGTGTATTTCTCTACACTCCTCCCATCTCAATAACCATGGGTCCTGTCTACCTCATCTACAGATTTTGATTTGCTCAAGAAAGAACAGGAAGATGTGATTTTCAAATTCACCAAAGCAAATGTATCACATATTTAAAATACAATATGTTAAAGCTCCCCTATGTTTTATTTCTGTACATGTGATAAACCTGATCCACTAATTTTTACTGTTTAATTATTAGTCACACATTATACACATATATGCAGCTTGTATAGGGCTGCAACTAATAGGCAAGCATACAATTAGTTTTCCAATCCCACATTTATTTATGTAATAACTTCTAAATTAAAGCTGTTTTTTAAAAAACTTTTTATCTTTATTTTTTTCTAATATTTTTGTAACTCCCAGCAATTATTTTCTCTTTATGTTAGGAGGTTGTTGATAAATCGGTAGTGACCAGAATCATGTTATTGTTTGGTTATTCCTAAACCAACATGCTTCCCCTAAACCCCATGTCAGATTTTCTGAATCATCTGTCATGAGACATGCTGTCACACCGTACGCAAAATGAAGAGAAACCATTAGTTCACGTAATGTTATGAATTTAAAACAGACACCGGATGAATAATCACTTTATTCTGGTTTCATATCCTGTTTATTTGTTGCCCTTGTTTATATAGTAAGTGTGTGGCGGAGGTCGTCGGTCTAATCCCACCACTGATGTACCCTTCAGCCAAACTACTCCAGTGGAGCTGCTCAAACTGTGGCTGTAAAGGGCAGCTTCCAGGTGTGTCTGTCATCGGGGAGTTCCTGCTAAAAAGAAGCTTTCTCTCAGAGAAACTTCCCCGAATGAATAAATGTTTTCATAAAAACATGAAGAAATGGAAAAGTACACATAATACTTCCATACATTTTGGAAAGGTAGAACCCGCAACAGCTGATGAAGGCAACAGGCTGAAACCTCTATGGCGGGGGGGGGCTCTATCAACAGGGAAAATTATAAATTTACAACGCACCACGCCACATGTGACTACGTTTCAGATTGACCACTGCTGTTGAAAGGAAGTTCCTAGCTCATGACAGGCCTCTGTGTTGACACATGAGCGCCTAGCATCACATTTCCTGCCACACTTCTCATGTGTTTCAACTTCCACTGTCACACTGCAATTTTGGGTGTTACATAAGCATCTTCTGAACGTACAGGTACGAGTCCTGTGGGGGTTGTGAAAAACATCAATAGGGATACGAAACCAGTAGGACTGGGTTTGTGTGAAATTTAGATAAAACTTTTTCGGTAGTCTTATATTTCATCTAGCTCTGGCACACAAAACACAATGACAGAAGTATTTGTTAGCGTTCGATCCTACTGGGCCACTTTTGTCTCTTACTTGAAAAATGTTTCCTTTAAATGCTCAAAGAAGCGAGAGTTGAAATTTAGACGAAACATTTGTAAACTTGTTTCATTTGAATAGAACAGCATTTCCACATTTGGACAGCACTGAACCAGAAGTACAAGGGCAACAAAAGTGAAAACATCACCTACAGGTCATAATGATAAGGTGCTTGGTGCAACAAAGGATATGAAGAAACACAGTTTTGTTGTATGCAATGCATTGCATCAAAATGAAATTCCTAGTGAAAAGGCTTTTTGTTCATAAAAATGTATATACACATCTTCATTGCACTTTGACAAAAGATTGTTTTTTGTTCCTTTTCTTACTGCTCAATTTTGTGATTTTACCACAGCTGGTTTAGAAAAACAAGACATCAACTGCTTTGATATCTTTTCTCCTGGAAAAAACAAATGTATTTTTTTCTCTAAGCACTAGATGGTACTGTAAACCTAAAACATCACAAAATTTCATGGGAAGCTTCTCTTTAATTTGTTGGTGATGGCATGGTGCTCTAAAGGTGGCAGTGTCATTTTAAAGCAGGGCATTTCTTTGAGAGCTTATAGAGCCCTTCATGTTGATACTTGTGACAAGTGTGTAAAAAACCCAACAATCTTGTCAATCCCAAACAATTTGTTGTAGCCAGACCACCAATACAAGGCAGTTGTTTAAGCGCAAGAGAACAGTGACGTCAATTTTATTAACATTAACTTGTGTTCAACTGTCAAAGACAGAAAACCCAAATGTGGCAACAGAATTACTGTAAAATTTATTCGGTGAACCATTTCGCCAGTATTTAAGTGGTCCCACCTTGAGCAAGGTACAATTGATGGCAAACAAGAAAAAAAAGAAAAAAAAAAGAAATAAGTCCTATGAAAAAAACACAAACAAGTTTAATATCATCCTACCCATCATTAAAAATTCAAAACTAACACCGTTCCTGTCACAGAGTCACTCGGATACAGTTTGGTTAAGAGAAAGAAGCTCTTTGAAGAATGTTGCTTGTGCATTCAGTCCAATAACTCATCACCAACTTAAGGCCTTTTCCACTAAAAAGCAGAAACACGTTTTCAGATTTAAATGACAGGCAACCTTGCCAAGATATAAATTAAGAAAAGAAAGTGCATCAAGTGTTCAAGTAGGGTGTATAGTCTGAAAAGAAGCTAACAGGGAAGGGGGGGCTTCGGAACGGGGTACGGGGGAGGAAACACTGGCACAGAACTGGCAATTTTCAGTAAGATTTAGCAGACAACAATGTAGACTGAGAAGGCCGACCACAACTCAGCCAGCAAGGCTCGACTGTATAAGAAGTCCTGCTAGTGCGTCACGTGGTAAATCACAATCACACTGTGCTGCTTATTGAGAGCACTACTTGCACTACACGCATGACACTGAACGACACGTTTGACTATGATATAGCCTGTGTAAAAATGATGCAAGTAGTCCCTAAAGTAACTCATTATGTTGAAAGCCAAGATAGGCTTTGATGGGTATGGGGCAGAGATGTTAAAAAAGGGGTGAGGGCGAAACGGGGAGGTCCATAGTTTTCCCCACATGATACCCCCTAACCCCAGTTTCATCTTTTGGCACGCCGTGGGTCCCTGCCGTTGCTAATGTTAATTGAAGACTTTGCGGCTGCTGGGGGTCCTGCAGCAGTAACCGGAGGCGCTCCGTTCCCAGGTGACCGACCGTTGGGTCGCCCAACGCTCCCGAACGCAGGGTCACGGGGTGCGCCAGGTGGTGGGTTGTTGTTGCCGCCAAATGGTGGCATGGAACCGTTACCTGTGGGTTGAGAAAGACAAGTCAGGCATCTAAAGACATGTCATCCCTCCCTGGCCTTTCACACAGGTGTAAATAAAACAACGATGGCTGAAATCAATTTAGCTGCTTTGGTCTAGGGGTCCTGGTACTGTGCACGCAGGCACAATTTAAAAAAGGAACACAGCTGTTCATGTTATTAGTAACACCTGAGCTTTTCATATTATGGAAAAAAAAAAAAAAAAAAAAAATAGCCGTTTCCTCATATTACCCAAACTCATCACCATTTTAGATTTGGTAAGCATTTAAGAAATTGGGCACCGTACCATCTTTGTCATATTTCCACTTTATTGAGTACAAAAACAAGCTTTAATTTAAAAAAAAACCAAAACAAGAATAGTTTCTTCTGCAGGATGGACACTCCACTATACAGAACATGCACAACTGTGCTGTTTCTGCGCAGTGGTTATTTGCATAAAAAGCAAAATATACTGACCTGGTGGGGCAGGGGTACCTGAATTCTGATTGGGTGGAGAGTTTCCTCTCTGATTCTGGTCTGGTTTACCCTGTTAGAAGAGAACGCCACCTTTAACTCTCTACCACCATTGGTGTTAGGCTGGACTGAGGACTTACCATTTAACACCTTATTACCTGATAAAATTTATATAAAACAGGCCTTGCAACACGGGTATGTTTAAAAGGAAGGGCCATCATTATGTTAGGAACGGGTGCACGGCTACTCACAGACTTGTTTTGCTGGTTCGGTTGGGTTAGAAGCTCTGGGTTTGGTTCACTGAAGTTGGGCACTTCTGAATACACCATGCAGAACCTGCAGAGACAAAACCCATGTTTCAACATGACATTCAAGAAAAACAAGAAATTACATGGTTTTGTTTGGATGAAAGTTTGAAACGATCATCCTCCGACTGGTACACATAAATATTTGTTAGATTAAAAGATCTTCCAGAAAAGGAAAACACTGAAATTTTACTGTCTACAGGAGGTTGCTTACTGGAAAGTGAGACTGGTATAACCGAGATGTCTTGGGATTAAAGGTCATGTATGTTGAGGCGTTTAGAGAATATATATATACAGCTGACCATTTTGAAATGTATATCTTTCTATACTTTATTAATCCCACGAGGGAAGACTGTTTTCGCTCTGTTATTATTATGTTAGTATTTACACACAGGTGCATGCACAAACAGGACCCATAGCAACACACAGAGGTTGCCACTCAGGGCGGCGTCCCGAGCAGTTGGGGTTCAGGGGCTTGCTCAAGACCTCCTTCGGCAGTGCCCAGGAGGAGTACCAGTCCACGCTCCGCAACTCTGGTCCGAGCTGGATTCGAACCGGCGACCCTCCTCCTCCCCCTAATACTTACAGACTGAGCTACCGCCGCCCATGATAGAATAGACTTCCCATGATAAAATAAAGTTCTTCAACCAGGCTTTAAAAACAAACATGTTACTGATACATTTCTCAAGTTACTCTGGTCTTATATAATGCTTGAGAACATAGCTGAATTATAAATAGGTTTGCGGCCTGCTACTCACTCTCCAATCTTTTGTAGATCCCCTCCTCTTCCAGTGTATAGGGTCAGGCAGCCTTTCCATATGGATGCATAGCTAACAGAAATCACAAGTTAAACATTTGAAAGCAAGATTTTTCCTCATACAATTTAAGAAAAGAGTTGCTGAGGTAACATTACAGAACCACCTGTCAAATGCAAGTATGTGCACTGACATGCAAGTTAATAGTACAACTAAGAAAGTACTGTTTAATGTCAGTTTCCAAGCATGCCAACAATCCTACCCTCTGGTCAGCTTGATTATATCCCCTGGCTGAATAAGGCTGCCGAGTTCGTCCCACACAGAGATAGCAATGCTCCCGCTCTTGTCCGCCACCTTGCAGGAGCGCACCTCATGACCATCTTTCGTTTTGGTTACTCGCCCTAAATGGGACAAAGCAAGTAGAACATAGGGGTAACCCTAAAAACACGTCTAACCGAGCTTACGCTACCAGTATGTATATGGAAATGTTATGACTTAATTACAAACAAAAAAGTCCTTGTTGCCTGCACTATGTTAGTGTAGGTAGAAGTGTAACGTTACCGCTGGTCCCTTTAAGAGAGAAAAAAAAAAGCTGGTGATGGGAGAGACGCTTTAACGTTAGTGTCGCGGTCCAACTACTTACCTATTTCCAATACGATGAATACGATGTTCAAGTTTTTCGACCCGGGCTTCACATCCTTTATCAAAAACAAGGCCTCGTTTGTGGGGGTTGCCATTGTACGCCTGACACTTCAATTCAGTAGCAACGACTGCTGGCTGTCGTAACTTTGTGATGGGTAGCTGCTATATTAGCTTTAGCTCAGCTAAGTAATTAGCCAGTTAGCCAAATGCTAACAGGCCCGACTTCAGAACACCAACCTTATCGTGATTGTTTGGCAACAGACACACAAAAGGGCCAGCTTCTCAGATGGTCGACTACATTCAAGTCAGTTACCATAAACACAGTGACACTGGAAAAAGAGCTGATAAATATCAGTTCACTGGCCTCTTCCAAACCGCTAGCACACTAGCAGGGTGGCTACATTTGCTAGCTAGATAAGGTCGCTAAGGAACGCTTAGCTAAACGTTAGCTGTAAGCTAAGCTACCTCCTTTTAATTTCAGGATATGGATATCGGTGCATCTTTCTTTTCACGACTATCGCCATAACGGCAGCTGCATTCTTCATATAACGCAAACAAACGTGGGGGAAAAAAACGCAACGTTACTAGTGTAACGTTAGCCGATAGATTACTGAACGATTTGCAGTGCGGTTGAGCTTAAAATATCGAAATCAAGAGAAAATAATACGTTAACGTCAGTAACTAGTAGGATGTCAAATCCAGAATCGCGAGTCAAATCTGAGACATCTGTTTCAACAAAGACCGACTGGCTGTGAGTTACACCAGCGCTTGAGAGTCTGTCTGTGTTGCGAACTATTTTGAGAAAGCGGTTTTTAATCACCCTCGACCATTAAAGACAAACTCCACGTTACGTTAATATTTTCTGATCGACCGTATTTCCTTTGTGAGCCTCTTCCGAGGAAGAGGAAGTAAGTTGGTAGCTTTGCTAGCGCGCAGTCTGGCAAAATGCTTTGCTATAACAAGACTGGTGTGTCTGTATCTAACTGTGGCCCCTGCAACGTTGCACTTGTCGAAAAGCCTTGTGTAAAGTGTCCTGGTTATTCATGTCTAAACAATACTAAAGCCCCCCCCAAAAAAACCGCTATTTAAAATCTGCACAAGCTGTTCACAGCACGCACTCCCCTGCTTCAACAATGCCCCCAACAACACGTCCACGAGTGCTGCGGGTCAGTTTTATCTAACTCGGGCTGTTCCATTATCCTACACAGGGAAAGGGTATAAACGTAGAAATTTCTTTTTGTGTGCTGTTATACAATGAAGACGTCAAATACGCACAATAATCAGGCTTCTATTTCTATTTCTATTTGTTTGTACTTATATAAGAAGACAAAGTGCTGACATGTTTACAGAAAAGAAAGAAAGTAGTTGGTTTGTACCAAATTAATTCCATTCGCAAACAACGCGAGATTAACAGAGTTTTTGTGAGAGTGTAGTGTCAACGATGAAACTAACGATGTTGATTATTATTTTTTTTTTACATGAAGCAGCATTATCCATTATTTTTGTGTCATCACGGTTATATTTGCTTTTCTAAACATCACATATATATATATATATATATATATATATATATATATATGCCCGTTTGTGGTCGAGGCGTAAAATGCGTCCAAAAACAAAGTACGTGGCAGTGATTCACATGCGTAAAACACGTCACCGCATTGCATTAGTTAGAAATCCGTTGTGTACGTAAGGATGTGTGCGTGAACTCCGCAAAATAAATTCCGTCACGAACAGGATTCGAACCTGTGCGGGGAAACCCCATTGGATTTCGAGTCCAACGCCTTAACCTCTCGGCCACCGTGACTACTCAACATAGTCGCCTGTATCGGAACCTTTTTAACAGTAGCACCACCCCCCGCTGGTTGAGATGTGTGCAGCTAGATGTCTTAGAAATAGCGTATATGTGATTTCTTTGGCTTGCTAATCATACCTGTGCCATCGATAATGGCAAAAGTCTTTACAGAATGCAGTGGAAGAATAACAGGGTGTTGTCATGAGCTCGGACGCAGGAGGGAGACAAACACCATCACAATATCTCGGCTCAAGCCCAAACACCGCAGCACTGATTTATCCTGTCGTAAACGACATTACACGTTCCTCCACTCTTGACACTGTTTTGGCGTCTGGATGTGCAACACATTTCCTGTTTTTTGCTGCCGTAGGCCTGCGTGGCTCAACATTAACTTATCGTTTCTTGACCTGGAGCTGCTCTCTGTTTTGACTCCTGTAACGTTACGAGATGATATTCTTGAATTTTGTATGCTATGTTTATTTGCACCATATTTGCAGACGGTTCTAATGTTAAAAGACCGATTCACCAAAATTACAAAAAATGTTTGTTTATCTTTCTTTCAGAATAATTGCTCTGCTACTCCAGTGGAATTTAATTTTGCTCATATACGGAAAAAAGAAAAAGGAAACAAAACGAAAAAGATCCAGTTACTCTGGATAGTCCACATATTATAGCCTACTATTAATAGTTTTCACAGCGATGTTCTACTTCCGACAGTATTTTAATAAAACCATTTAACTAGGCGACAGTATGTTCTGCACATTGTCCTAAACTGACAGTAGACTGTTCCTGGAAAGGCAGTGGGCTAATCTTCTAGACAACAGACATGAAATTATGAAACTCATTAACCTTCATTGATTGAGTATAATCTCAAAACCTGGACAAATAACACAAAATCAGTGATGATGTTAGATGGTGTTGGGTAAGTGATACAAATTTAATAATTTGGTGAAGCAATCCTTGATTGCCTAGTTGTAATTTTAAATAGAGCACTCTGTATCTACAAACTGTGCTATGTAAATAAGGGTTAAGCAGCTGAACCACTCCCTCACTGAGATTAATCCTCCACTATCTTATTATTACATCCATTTAGGTTTCCTAGATAACCACGCTTTGACCGACAGAACATTAACTACTATTAAATCATATACGTGAAATGTGCGACATTTTCTCATCTCCCTTTACCCCAAAGACCTCAAACACAATTTGAATGTTATAAAATCTTTATTGATGTATACAATACTAACATTTGAAAGGAAATACCTGCAAGATGCTTGAAAAAAGTGTCGTCAGGAGGAGTATATTTAAAACACTCCAGGGGCAGGGAATCTTCTGCTGTGAAGGACACTTCTTTGGTTTTAGTGGTTAACTAAATGAAAAGACCATAAAGTAAGAACTTTATATGAACAAAGATGATGTTAAACACGATATCGCTACATGACAAAGGGCCTTGTGAAGATACCTGGTCTTTGAACTTTCTAACAAAAAAAACAACAAATAATTCCTCACATATGATCCAAATTAAACATGACATCACGACAAATCAAAACGGACTTTTACACACATACATAAATCTAGATATTGCATTTTATTAACATTAGCAGACAGAGATATCACCAAAGTAGAACATTTGCATGAATAAGCAGAAAATACCTCAAAGCCAGTCGCATTTTAACCTCTACAGTACACAGTGTACACATAAGCTTAGCATTCTATCCCTTTTCAGTAAGATGATTTATACAAAGAAGACTTAAAAAATCATCAGAATGACTAAGCAGATTTGATAAACACAGGTAACAAGTGTTTTGAAGTCACTGATGTCTAATTATTTATTTTTTCCTTACAGATTCCATGATAAGATATGGTATCAAAATATTTGGGGCAGCATATTTTGACTTAAAGAAGTTAAGAATCCATTGCTTTATCTCATCTAGAAGAAGTATAACGGAGTGGGGTACAGGTAATGGAATCCTGCAGTGCCAGATCAGATATTGGTATGTATACCCCATACAATGTATTTAAGCTCCCATGGTCCAATGCCTTTCAGACTCTCGCAATTTTAACACCTTTCTGCCAAGCTGCACGCATGCCTAACCCCAAGGCAACTTTATCATGCTTTCACCAACAACTGAAGTCTTTTCTCACACTTCCCAACACCCACACTTGTCCCCCTTCCAGTACAAGCTCGTGTCCAGGAGCCTCCACAAGGGCCGAACACCTGTGGCTCCAGAGAGCCTCTCTCTCTCTCTCTTTGCACTGTCTCAACAAGGAGGCCAAGCGCATGAAAAATGGGCTGAGCAGGAGTCATCCGTCAAAGCTAGGATTGCTGTCCTCTGCCTTTATCCACTTCTGTGACCTCTCTAGTATCTGGATCCTTGGCACCTGGTATCACTTGCTAAAGTATTTTTAGGGAGTCATGGCATCAGACATCTGTGACCAAGGCTGATAAAGCACTAACGATGTGCAATAAGAGGAAGGTCACTTTATAGAAACCCTAAGGCATGACTTCCAAATGTGATGTTGATTGTGAATGATTGTGACTGTATTTGCACCTCCTTCAAACTTAAACTGTCTCGGTTTTATGTAGTTTTAAACACTGACTATGCCCCATAAAGTGATAACTGCTAAAAAAATTCCTCAGACGAGAAAAAAACTTCAGGCATGTTCTACTGTCACACTTATCTACAACAAAACAGGAATCCATCCCCTCAGGAGTGCAATTACCCAAACCAGCTTCTGCAGGGTAAAGGCACTGTAGGAGTATCTGGGTGCATGTATCCATGATGAGGTGCCCTGGCAGATGTTTAAGATATTATTTGTGTCTCATGTCTAAACATAGGTAAGTAAGTAAACATTTCACCATACACATTATGGATGCCTGAAAATAAAAAAAGACGACTTAACTCAAAAGAATTCAGATACAACATAACTGCATAAAGAACACACACTCAAGGTAGTCATCATAACGTTACTAATGTATGTATGAGAGTAATGTGCCTCGCATAGAGAAAGACTAATAATAATAATTCCTATACATAAACATACAAAACTGCTCTGCAGAAAAGGCAAAGGGCTGTAAAAGGAACATTTAGTGTGTCAGTATTAAAACCTGTAGGGTTCTTTGTGCCGCTAATGTCTCGCCACCTAGAGCAGCTCATATCCTGCAATGATGTCCTTCATTTGCATCAGTGTGAATGCGCACAAACATGTGGACTGGTATTTGCAAATCGTTTTCTGTAGTTAATTTCATATTCTACCTATTCTTACTCAATTGGCAATCACAAATTACAAAAATATTTTGATGCATCATATGCAACTCATCTGGTGTTCTAGGTAGGTAATGATTAAGTTGGAAATAACAGGAACCGACTATAGCAATAGCAGTGCAGGTGAAGGACAGGAGACAACGCAGCGCCACTTGGACTGGTCACCTGTTAGTTAAGATCTGGCCTTTTTCAGCACAGGTCCAAAGAATTCAGTAAACAACCTCTAGTTCACTACAAAACACCCCAGGACCGTCTCACTGAAAACCCAGAAACTCCCCATTCCAACTCTTGCACAACCTGGCAACACACCGCCTCAACAGGCGGTGGGCAGTACCACTGTTGCCAAAGATTTACTATTTTTCACAAAAAGCACAAAGAACAAAGAAGCTATTTGTCAGTGAGGAAAATAGCTCCAGAGGCAGACAAACACAGCAGGAGGGAGATAGTTGGCCCAGCGCCCTGGAGATGTGCTGCTGTTGAAGAGGTGAGCACCAGCTGATGGGAGTGAGTTATGGAGCATTGGTGCCATGTTGCTTTCTTTGGACAACCCTACTGTAGGGTTTTGGAAGCACTTGTACTGGATTCTGATACACTGTGAGGTCTACTTGTCAACCTATGCTTATGCAGTCTGTGCGAAGGTTTTTAGACTATGCTGGTGATAATGAAAGGTAGTACTGCAGGAATGGTCCAAGGATGGACAACCTTAGGAAGATGAGAGAATGTTTCTAGTACATATAGGTGTTAATCACAAGAACACAAGATTGTTTATAATGGAGGGATAATCTGTGAAAAGGAAGAATGGGAAACTAGAATTGATGCTCATTAAAATCAAATCATATTAAGACACTTGCTCTACAGTGATCGCTGATGTGGGAATCTGGGTATCTGCTGCTTTCTCAACAGGGCTTTTGTGTTTCTCCTTTTCTTCCTCCTCTTCTTCCTCCTCGCCGATATCTTCATCGTTCTCTGGAACTGCCAGGCCAGCAGAACGATCGCCATTCATCTCGCACTCCATGCTGGGTGCCTCTCCATTGATTGCCACCTCTGCCTTCAGGCTCTCTGGGGTGGAGGGGCTCAGCATCTCCCGAATCTCCTCCACAACTACTTTCTGGGTATGCACCTCTGCCAGGGGAATCTTTCCATCTAAGCTTCCCAGAGGAGGAATCTCCACATGGTCTTCTTCCTCAGGCGAGCCTATGTCGTGTGTGGGGACCTCTCCATCTCTGACCTTCTTGACGTTGAAGGTCATGGGAGACACCTTGAAAGAGGAGGTCTTGGCAGTCGGGCTCTTGGGATGGTTCGGGGTGAGGCTCTTCTTGATTTTTTCACGCTTCTCCGGTGGCACAATCTTGGTGGTGATCTGGGTCATCTTCTTCTCGATGCTCTGGCGCGAAAATGCCTTTTTGAGGCTATCGACCTTCTTCAGGCTGGAGCGTTTGAACCTGTCAGCCCTTCTCTCAAATGTGAGGGAAGTGCCCACGCCCATTGCATGCTCGCCCTCCAGCATCTCGTCCTCCTCATGGTGTGCTGGTAGATCATCATCCTCTTCTGAGGACAGGCTAATGGTCTGAAGACCCTCCTCTTGGGCACCATCAACAGAGCCCATAACAGACGGAGTAGGGTGGGTGGATTCTGCATCATACTGGCTTGGCTGTGGGGTCTTGAGGGAATCCTTGACCAACACGCTGGAGGGGATCTCATTGTCGTCCTATGGGGAAACAGAAGGACAGGAACAGGTGGGTTTAAGAGCACGGTCATTTGAACAAGTTATGAGTAAGCATAATTGCTTGAACCAGGCTTTAGTTTGACAGGAATGACCGCAATGATATCTTTGTTTGGATTGGTTATGGTCAGGGTTTGACTTTAGGCAACTTTATAAGTTCCAATGACTTCTATGGAATTCTTGACCATGGTGATCAAAGTCAGGATAGTGCAAGTGTACGTCCAAACACATCCCCACAAACATGTTTATGTGTATTTCTAGCCATTGTTTGGCCATTGTTTGCATTTAATACACTCTACACACAACACATGTTGGTTTGGTGTTGCTGAGGACCGAGTAAACCAGTCTCTGCATGCCTCCCCGGTCTTGTCCTTGGGACATCTGAGGAATTCCATATGTGTCTCTACAGGAGTCACACACCTCTCTTCATTTTCTCTCTTAAACTCCTCTCTGCCTTTAACCCGCCATCCATGAACACACTGATGACCATAAACAGAGTGGGATGGAGAGCAGTACGGTCAATATCCGAAGTTTGAATGTGTTTCTCGTCAGCCCACGTCTTCCTCCCTCTTACTTGTTGCCTATCCATTTGTGCACAATCACGCAAGCACACACATGCAGACACACACATACACATACAATGTTCTGCTACACTGGGGTTTTATGAACTAGAGTTCCCACCCCCCATTGCCCCTATCCTTTCACACCCAGAACTGAGAGGAGAGTCATGGTGCAGCTTCAGTGGTTGACATACTCCACTACACATTTGAAATGCTCATGGAGAAACCCTCCCGGTAATATCAGCTTAAAGTATTACTACTTGGTTTTGAGTTAATGTAGCACAGTGTACAGCACATTTTTATGTTTTCAAGTTCAGGTCCAAGACATGCCAATGTATGTATGTATGTGTATGTAAATCAATGTATGGCCAGTTAATACTTTCATTTGCCCACAACAAATCACTTCCAGGAAAGGCTTGATTGAACTGATTCAAAGCCTCCACACCCCCCACAATGCTGAACATTTTTGATAGTCATGTTCTGATTGGGCTAGGATTACAGCAGCAAAGTGCTTTGGCTTGTTCTAGTTGGTATTTAACTCTGAATATGAGCTTTGTGGCTACAATTGGGAATTGAAACTATATGCAGTCACACTCAAGAGTGGGGCTACTCATATTTGAGATGTTTTACCTCAGGATCTGTCAATAGCAAGTATTAGTGTAGGCCCCAGTCACCCTCAGTACATGTTTGAATGACATACTTTTTAAACAATAGTCTTTGAACCATGCTTAAGAATGTGACTGCATTAAAGCATGACTGCATTTCAAACAATGCATGGCAGCTTTCAATACATTTCAAACAATGCATGGCAGCTTTCAATACATTTTATAGGCTCTTAAAGCTACAGGATGTCATAGGTAGTTGAAGGAGTGTGCAATGCATCTTTCCTGGGCTGTCATTAACACATACTTAAGGACTGGGCCAACAGGATGGTCTAGAAAAGTCCTGCCTCCTGTCCATTCTTCACTTGTCAACTATGGCGTGTTTTTGCTGAAAGAGACAGTAGTACTATACCTACAATCTGCCAATGCCAATTCATCCCATTCAAGCCTATTTTGACACGTGGTTATTTGCTGCTATTTTTATGAAGTTGGTCAAGTGTGTAAGATGACACAGTATCTGTGACAGTAATATTATAGGCTATGGGGCTGCAATTGTGAGCAAAGCTGCACAAAACCATGATGTAAAGTGAAATACTCAGACAGTCATTAAAATGTCCAATCAATATTATTCTTGTGTCAAATAACTATACTATACAACATCCACTTTATGCATTTTCCTGACTGCATAAACTCTAGCATAGACTGGGGCAATTTGAAAATGAGCACTCAGAATGACGTCCAATGACTATGCTATTTTACCCGAGTCTGATCCACAGCAGTTAACAGCACTCTATGTAGGTACCTAAACAATTTCATAGTGTATGGAAAACTCTCGAGAGTAGAAAGCCATACAAAAGCCCAGCTGTTTTTACCACCTTGCAGACACCTGATGCCTCTTGCCTTGATCTCAAAAATGCAGGCATGATTCACAGTTCAGGTGTGCGCCAAGCATGTGTGGTATCTCCAAGTTAATGCTAGCAAATCTGTCTGGGTGTTCTTAAAGGCACAACATCAAAAGCCAGGTCAATTCTAAATAATTCTAAACATTTTTTCTGGCATTCCCCATTATAGGTAGCTTTTCTGTGCATGTAGACAGTTCTTGAGTTTTTACGTACCACTGGCTAGCGCTTTGTCATCATCATCCCAAAGAAGCTTGGAGTTGTGATGCACTGCAGGTTTGTAACTTGAAATCCAAAACAACAAAGGAAGTTCTGGTTACCACTACTTTTGACTTGGTTTCAGTGTAATTCCTCCCTTTCTGTTTTGTTCTCTGTAGCTCCCTCCTGTTATTTCTGAATGAGCAGTATCTGCATGCCCCAATTTGCTGTTGGTCTGACAGTGTGCCACACCCACAGAGACTGTGTGTGGATCAGAACATGTACACGCAGAATCAAATGACAAAGTCCATTACAAGCCAGATAGAGTCAGTTTAAGTCAGCATGAAGCGTGAGATAGCTTAACGGTTAAACACCCACCTAAATCTGTAAGTCACTATTAGATCATCAGAGCCAATAGGAGCTCTTCTCCTGACCCTCAGTGGAGCATTTCCTGATAATACGCACTAATCTTCCCTGATTGTTTGGTGGTGTTAGGGTTTCTTAAGATTCAATCTTGACACCTCTGCTCCAGTCTGGGCATGCCATAGACTTTCTGATTTGGCTCAAACATGTTTGATATAATCAGTGTGGGTACTGGGTTGTGTGGAAGGCAGCAACTGAAACTCAAACACCCTTCGATGAAAACTGAGCTCTCCTGTGTGTAGCAGTAACACTGTTGATTGATTCATGCTTTACTCATGGTGATAAATACGATCAATGCTTTGCTTGTCAATCTGAATTGTAGAGTGCTTACACTTATAAAACACACACACACACACACACATTAACAATAGCAACAATAGTAGTGTTTATTACCAGTGTTCATGTTTATTTGGTTTTACTGGTGAAGATACTGTGTATGTGCTGAAATTAGTGTGTCCCCAGTTTAACCCCCAACAATTTGGCAAGCAAGCTACAACAAACAAAATTTTCCTAAATCCCATTTGACCCAGGTCTGTCCGGTATCTCCGTGTGTGTGTGCATGTGTGAGTGTGCATGTGTGTACCTCACATTCTTCTGCTTTTCTCTTGGGAACTCCATTAATTAATGTAGCCTCTAAGCAAGCGCTCATTAGCCACTGAGAATGTGATATGCGTGTGTTCGAGGGTACGGGTGCCAGTGTGTGCTTGTGTGCAGCCATGTGGGACCTCAGCCATTGTTTAAAAGAGCATGATGAAAGAAATTTAAATACATTTGGAGCAAACCACAAAACAAAGTTGATTTAGCGTGACAGCGAGTGTACCGTACGTTACGTTAGGGCACTCACTTCAAAGATATTCTGTACGCTTATGTAATGGAGTTCAAGATCTCATTTAGCAGTTAGTAGTAGAATTGTCATCTATTTGCAAGTCCTGCTAGGACTTACTAAGCCATAGCTTATGTATGTCAGTTCTCTGGCGTCTCTTGCTCTGTTCAAACAGAGAGAGATCAGGGCGGGGCAGGACTGTTTGAAGGAGCTCAGATGGGTTATTCTGTGAGTGTGTGCTTCGGTTATATTTACCGTATGTGTAATGACACGCTATACTGTTTCTTTTGCATCTATTATCTCCCCATTGTTTGTTTGTGTGTGTGTGTGTGTGTGTGTGTGTGTGTGTGTGTGTGTGGCTTTATCTACTGACATCTACTGGACGATTTCGCACAATAAATTTTGTTGATGTGTTTTTTTTTTGGTGAAATATGTCAACAGCTATTACTGTGATTGCCGTGACATTTGGTACAGACATTCACGTCCCCCTCGGGATGATTTGTGATGACACTGATCCCCTGACCTTTCATCTAGCAGGAATAATCATACCACGATGGGATTTCACTGAAATTTGATAAACTTTATTTTTTATTGCCCAGCCCTAATAACACCATATCGTTTACATCTACTTCTACCTCTTGTGTTGCTGTATGTGTGTGTGCGTGTGAGTGATCTTTATCACTCTATTACTTTCCCTACCAACTTCAAGTTCAGATTCAAAACACACACATATCCATGCAGAAAAACACAACCCTTACATGTACATATATAAACCATGCTACTGTATTATCGAAGGTTTGTATTGCAGATTTGCACGTAGTCAGTTATGTATGTTAATGTGCATGTGTGTGTTAGCAATTTGAACAGGTGTGTTTTCCTGGCCCTTCAGATGACGAATGGAGGTTTTCTTAATCCTTAGTACAGGTGTGTTGGCACAGCGAGTCAGGTGCCTCCGGGGGCCTGCACCATCACCACCACCACACACACAGAAATGTATGTGTGCACGCATTTGCTATTGTCAAGCCCCTGCAATTATGTAGCTACAGAATAAGAAAGACAGGAAGCTTAGTTTAAAAGAAAAGAAGGAGAAAATAGACCGCAGACAAACAGAACGCTACTTCAAGAATGTACAGCTCCAGATGCTTTTTACTGATTGATATCAGTTTTGTTTGTAATGGGAATTGTAATATTCATCTTTTTTCTTCTATTAATTTCCTCCTGCCTCCTCCCTCTATTCTCTAAAAACCTACCTTCATTCATAATGTCTGAACAAACACTACTATGGTCCCTGCAGCCTCATCACGCACAACTTCATCCATTCAGTGAAGAGTTGCAGTACAGTGTCCACCTAAAACTCACGTTATTGTGCAAAATTGCCTTCCTCCGCATATTTTATAATTACATCCTTCCCATTATAGAGCAGTGAGTTGCTTTACACTTCATCCCTACCTAGCTTGTTGCGTAACATCACGCCCCCTCC